GTGACCAGGGTCCCCTGGCCCCATGCGTCCAAAGCATTGCACAGGGACATAGTCCCGGCTCTCCCCCAGACATAAACCTGCGTGGGCCCCTTGGATGGGCCAGACCTCACTGTCCATGGCCACACAGATCCCAGGGCGATGAGGGAGGAAGGAAAGGATGTACTTACCTGAGGAGACAGTGACCAGGGTGCCCTGGCCCCAAACTTCGAGATACCTGTAGCCACACTGGTCTGCCTGCCTGGCCCCCAGTGCACAAACCCCCAGCTGGGCCCTGGCTGGGCTCTGCCCACAACTTCTCCTTCCCAGCCGGCACCTGTCCCCCAGGCTTCCCTCAGCCCAGCTCTCACGAGCTCGCTCACCACCAGGAGCTCTGTGAGCCCCGAGGGACTGCCCCTAACGGGGCCAGAAGCCTGCCTGTCCCCTGGGGCCGCAGCCTCATCCAGGCCTCGGGCAGGCAGGCTCGGGGAGCTGCCCAGGGACCTGGCCGGACGCCCACGCAGAGCAGCCGCAGGGAAGGCTCACCTGAGGACACAGTGGCCAGGTGCCCTGGCCCCAGTGATCGAGGTTCCAGCAGCATGGCCTCTGCCCCGCTGCTTCTCCTGTCCCCCCACCTCCTGCCAGCCCCTGACCTCCTGTCCCAAGTCTGGGACAGCAGACTGCTTGGCTCAGCCCACTCCAGTCCCACAGTCCCCCAGGCTGGAGACTGGACGCTGGGCTCACCTGAGGACACGGTGCCCAGGTGCCCAGGTGCCCCAGCAATGGGGGAAGCACAGGTGCAGGGAGGTGGGGCCCGGGAGCCCCCGGAACCAGAAGCCTGCTCTCTGCTTGAGGAGAGGCCCCGCTGGCTCCCTCCTACATCATTCCTGGCCAAGGATTCGGACGTCCTGACACCTGACTTGCTTTGGTCCCCCGAGACCACGCTTTCCCTGCCGCCCTGCTGCTCCAAGGCTTGGCGCCACTCACCCCACAGCCCTGATCCCAGCTGGGCTCCCCACGACCTGGGGCCCAGGCTGCTGCACTGGCCCCTTCCCCCAGCCCCGGGGACCTAGTCCCTTGCCTGGGATGTGACCCATCTCTTGTCCACCGGAAACCTGACCCCCTTGTGCACCTGGCCGTGAGCCCTTGGGGCGGGGACCTGGCTGCCCTGGGGCGGCTCTGGCCAGAAGTTTTTGTAGAGTTGTCAGTCACTGTGGCTCCAGTTAGCACTGCGGTTCCCAGCTCAGCCAAAACCCCAAGGGCTGGCAGGTGGGCCACAGAGCCCAGGGGAGACCTCTCCCTGCCCGCCCTCACAGGCATTCCTGGGCCAGCTACAAGTCATCTGCTAACAATCCTCAAAGCGTTGAAGGCTGCCTGCACGGCTGCCTTTTTCTTTCAGAAATAGGAGCAAATTCCAGACTGTGCCTCCCGGCTGTCTGGAGGCCACCTGCACTGGCGTCGTGTCCCCCGCAGGGCAGCGGGCAGGGGCCCAGGCCAGTGCTGACCCCAGGGGGGGCGGGCTCTGCCCCGGCCTGGCCCCCGTGGGGTCTGTCCGGGACTCTCTTTGGTCGCAGCTGTGGTGCCGGCAGCAGCCCCTTGTTACTTCTCCTTGTTCACAGTCCTCCAGGGAAGTCGGGCTCCCAGGGGCTGAGGGTGCACCGAGTGTCCACCGAGTGTCGGGCCACTGTGTGCCCACAGTCCCAGGTCCCTGCCCTGTCCCTGGGCTGCAGGTCCTTTGGGAAGGATCTCAGCTTTTGATGCCCTGGGCTGGGGGGCGGTTACGAGGGGGGAGCATGGTGGTCTAAGGGAGCCCTGCCCAGACCCGCCCAGACCTTGGGGGTCCCGGGGGAGGGGAAGTGTGTGTGTGTGTGTGTGTGTGTGTGTGTGTGATTCCAGCTGAGGCTGAGATCTAGAGGCTGGGGCCTAGGCCTGGAGGAGAATGGTAGGTGGTCTGATGTGACTAGATGTAAAGGGGGCTGTGTGCCCAGCAAAGAGGCTGAGGAAGGGCGGCTTCTGTCTGGGGCAGGCCGGAGGACAGATTCAGGCTGGCCTGGGGCATCAGAGGCGGAAGCCTGGGTGCTGGGAGAGGGTTGTGAGCCTGCAGGTACAGGGAGGCTCCCACAGGGGAGTGGGCAGGAAGGGGGAATGGGGGGCAGAGGGCTGGAAGAGCGGTGGTGACTGCGAGGCAGCTGCCTCAGGATTTGGGACAGCTCCGGCCTGGGTCTAGGAGAGGCGGGGAGATGCCAGACGCAGCAGCCTCAGGCAGGCCGGCGGGCGTGCTGGGAGGCCCCCAGATACACCAGGACCACGGGCAATGGGTGGACACGTCTGGGTCCGGGGTGGTGAGAGGAGACCCCAGCGTTGAGCTATGAGGGCTGCACTGTGGACTGAGTGCCCAGAAGAGCCCACGGAGGAGGCCATTGGGGGAGAAGAGGAGAGGTGAGATGGGGAGGGGTGGAGAAGGAGCAGGGGTCTGTTGCTCTGAAGCAGCGACTGTGGCCTGAGAGCTGGCGAGACCTGGGGTGGGACCACTGGGGTATGGCCTCCTGAGCCTGCCCTCGCCTCGTGGGCTGAGGTCCTGCTCCCTGGGGGAGTGCGGTTCCTCTGCCTGACCCTCTGGGGCTGTGTGGGCGGCTCACAGTTTGTAGGCAGGGCTCCCTCAAGGCAGCCCCCTCCGCTGTCTCAGCATCCCACGGCCCAGTTCTGGGATCTCGCTCCTGCCTCCACCCACCACAGCACATGCCAGGGGAAGGGCATGCATGTTACTGGTGTGTGCCCAGTGAGTGCCGGCGTGGCATCTGGATCTGTGTATGGGGTGGCCAGAACTGGGCCCCGCGGCCATGTGGAGTTGGTCTCCCGGCTTTTGCTGTGGTCTCACAGCCCCCACCCCCCACCGCCTCTGGAGCAGGTGACCGGGAAGGTGTCTCTTGGCTTGGCTTCCCTGAGCAGAGCTTGGATTTGAGCTGAGGACTGAGCTTCTAAAGGCAGGGAGGGAGGGTGCCCTGGCCACTCAGCTGCCTTGTGAGAGTCGGCACACACCGTGCAGCTGCTGCTGAAAATAGCCAGTGAGCTGCGACTGAGCAGCCAGAGGGAAAGGCCCTCAGGTCTGCCACGGTGGGAGGCGGGTGGCAGCAGCATTCACTCTGCTCCTTGAACTCCTGGGTCACAACGTCCAGGAGATGGACGAGTCAGAGGTGACGCCCAACATCTGCCTGGGGGTCAGAGGCCTTGACGAAGGGCAGGGGCTGCTAGTGGGCCTGGGGGCTCCACGGCCCTCCAACCTGCAGTGCCACCACGACTTGGCAAGTGAATCCCACTCCAGGGTCCCGTTGCCCCAGAGCTGGGGCAGTGGTAGACCAGATGGCCAGAACACAGGTGTGCTTCAGCAAGTAGTGAGAACCATCCTCGTGTTCTAGGGGAGAGCGCTTTGTGCCCGAGACTCGGCTTCTGCTGGCCTCCACCGACGGGGACCTGGTCTCTGGGCACTTGACTCCAGAAGGAAGGTCCTTGTGGGCACAAACGCAAGAGGAAAAAGCGCGTCTTGTTTCAGGGCAGAAGCAATGCAAGGTCACGTGGCTGCTTCAGTCGTGGAGCAGCGGCTGTGAGAGGTTACCGAAGGGGAGAGGAGCGGGGTGCCCACCCTTCATACCCAGTGGCATGAGCAAAAATGGGAAAGCCAGAAAGGAAGATGACAGCACACAAGCAAATTTTTAAAAAGTGGCACCAACTCACACTATACATTTCAAAAGACAACGGTCGAAAAAAGAACAAAAGATCCTGGTGCCTGCCCCCCCGCCCTCTGCAGGGGTGGAGCGGGTGTAAGCTCTCGGGAGTCTCCTAAGTGCCCCACGTCCCCGGAGAAGGACACTGACTGGGGTGTTGTCAGGGCCCGTGCGAAGGAGAACCTCCAGCTCCAGGCGACAGAAGGTCTGATCTTCAACGGGGCCACCAAGGCCGGCTGGCCTCCCCGCGGGGTGAGGAGGTGGGGCGGGGATTTGCTCAGGGACGAGGTTATGGGGCAGGGAGTGGTGGCTGCATCTCTGGGGATGTC